GTCTAGATATTTAAAATAAGCAATTTTTTCTTATTTCCCTATTTTGTATGCAAAAATAATGTATTAAACAACTTGCTTGTATATTAAATGGAATTTTTTTTCCGTTTTGGTTTAAAAAGGTCAACATGAACAAATAACTGCTGAGAAATATATAATTAGGTGGTAATTACATAAAAAGCTGGTATCTTTTTTTTTTTTTTTTTGTCTAATCAGCTTTTTCTTTGGCAGGGGGACAAACAGTTGCTTCTAATTGCCAAGACATCCCACAGCACAAAATACTCAAAGTACTGGCCACATCCCTATGTCCCAGGAATAACATGAGTTCTGGGCAAGGAGAAAGCAAATTCACTGTTTTTTCATGCACCTTATTTCCTCCATAGCATCTTCAGGATCTTCTAGAGGGAATGAGGTGTATGAAACGACAGTAATGACAATTTTATGACATTGCTGAAATATCAAATTCAGTCAGGCTCACCCGTTCCCAGAGACAACCCCAGGAGACGTCATGGAGACACAAGTATCCTGTGGCTGCACAGCACTGCATGAGGACACGAGTGCCACCTCAACATCAGCAGTGTAACCCAAGGTCTCTTTACATTTGCTACCACACACAGGTGCATAAATAGAGCAGGAAATTTTTCCAAGTTCTTGGCTATACATTTTGTGCATCTGAGTTTGGAAGATGTCTCTAACATTTTAAATGCTTAGCAGCAAGCTTGCTATAGGAAACAGTCAACAAACTAAAAGAAAATTCGAATTAGATTGAAATAATTAGATACAAGAGCTCCAGTTAGAGAATTATTTCATTCTTTAATGCTCATTTTTATTTGTGTGCATAGCTGGATTACTCCCAGGTTTCTATCAGCTTCTACCGACAAAAAGCTCAGTGGAGAGGGAAAAATTGTTGGACACAAGACATAAAAAATCCTCAGTATAAATGAAGATCAGGTTTATATACTTTGTCACACATTCATTAAATCCACACAGTCTGAACTACATTTACTCTTTTATTCTGTCACCTGACAATTACTTTGCATTGCATGGCAGAGCCAAGTTGAGAGCAGGCACAGACAGAGAAACAAAAACACCATTCATGATGAATTGTAGAGTGTTCTTCTCCAAAAGAAGAAATTGTAGGAAAGAAACTGGCCACTCTGCAGCTTTATAATGTATTAGATATCACAAATAACCTTTACCAAACCAATGCTTTCTCATCTGTTAATAAATGAGATCCTTGCAAGACCTTCCAACTGAAACTTCTTAAAAGTGAAGTTTAACATCAGACCTTGCACAGCTTTCTGCTCTGTTGTGTTCTCATTACTCACCCAGGTCGTGTTTGAACTTTCACAAGCCTCCCTCCTGGGGTACTTCTCTAGTTGTACATTTAGATATACCACCACTGAGTGCTGTGCACTGCCCACCTCAGCACCACTGGGAACAGTGAGCTACTTAATGCTGCTGTTAATGCTGGCTTTGGGCTACAGCAAAAGGATTTGAAATTGCCTGGAGAAACTGGTCTTTTGGGTGTACAGATATGCTCTGCATTATTTCTGCACATTTTTAATATGGTGCTAAATGGAAGTGCTCACAAAATATCAAAGGAATTAGGTACCTGAATATACCTCTCAGGGTCATGCATTGCTGTTGTTTATTGCAGGTATACTCTGCAACAGTGAGGCAACAAGTAACTGAAGTGCTTTAGGCTGAAGGATTTGCAACACTGGACCATGGAAGTCAGAGACAGAAGAGGCCATGAAGACCACGTTTTTTGGGGTTTTTTTTGTCAGCACAGAAACAACACTGCTGGACTGGGCTGCAAAGGTACGAGGAAAACATAAGTCCTTTTTCTGAGGCATCTGAATTTACCTCACTGCCATCCTCAAAGCACTCTATTCCATTGCCTTTGAACATTTTCTAGGCTGCATAGCAGCTCTCTGTTGCCCTATATTTTACATCTATATAAAATATATGGTGTCTATAAAAGTATAATTCCCACCTAGTACACCCAGAGGAGACACACAATCAGTGTGACAATACTAGGTTTCAAAAATTCAAAACCCAGGGAATAAACCTGTGCCTGCTGAAGAGTTGGCAACAGTATATATTGTTGTACCAGAAGAAGTTCTGGGGATTGGTGAAATAAAATAAGGATAGAGAAGTCAGGAAGGGAAAAATCCCTATCCTGTGTGTATTTATAGAAACACACAACACTGTTTTAAGCAGCTTTGTGACAAAAGGAAGATTTTAGACAAGGTGCTGGAAACTCCATAGCTCCTGGGTGCTGGAAACTGGACTGTCATTCCACTTGTACTTTTATTTTAGATGAATTTGTGCTCTCCAACCAGGCTCTCTGCTGTGCTTACCTGAATAAGCTACTACATATTGTACTGCCTGTGGACAGTCTCAGGGTAGTCAAGCCTGCTTCAGAATAAGGATTAAATTACAGAGCAGAAGTTTGTGAAGATTGAAAAAGCCTGGTATGACAAGCACCTTGAACAATGACTAGCATGAAAGAGCCAAACCAGTATCTGGATTCCCAGAACATGAAGTTCAAAAAGAAAAGTTGCAATGAATTTCATTATAGTTTGACTCAAGGTAAATACTTGATTAAAGAAGACATTACATTCTGTAAGCTCTGTAATTTTCTTCACACAAACTAATCATTCCAGTGCCCTTCTACTCTAATGCATATTAATATTCAGTTTTATAGCTTTCAGTGAATTCTGAAATAACATTTACTTTTTCCTTGCATGCACTATTTATTTTTATTCATACAGACATTCAACAAAAACTAAAGAAACACTGCATTATATTGTAATAGCAGCCAGACATAGTCCCAGGGAGACAAAAAGTATTTCACTAATTCAGTTTTTGTGACAAAGTGGCAACTAGGGAAAAAATATGACCCCATGTGTGAGATAACAGCCTAGACCTGGAAAAATGAATTTGAGATTCTCTTTTACCATTCCTTTCCCATTTTACTTTGGGCAAGCAGAATTTCCCAATCCTTAAACAACTTGATGTCATTCACTAACACTTACTCTGCATGAAGCAAAGCACCCAAACAGGCTCCCTGTGCCCCAGCTCTCCTCCTATGAAAGGAGTGTAACAGCACACACCTACCCTCCACATTGTGGTGTTCTTTACAGAGGAGCAGAAGGGAACAAGGGCAAATTAAGTTTTCCATTTACCCAAAGAGCAGGCAGAGCGAACTCTTCCCACAATTGTCTCTCATCCACGTGCTGTGAGACTCTGTGTCACCTCCCCATGCTTTGCACGCCTGTGTTTTTCTGGTTGTGGCAAGGTCATTAGTGGAGATGGAAGCTAATGCTGATATAGTTATCTGTGCTCTGATGGTTGTAATGAAACTCGTTTATTTTACACAGAACATCAAATGGGCGTCGAATGCTGATGAAGTGGTTTTTTATTATCAATCTGTGCTTCTGGGCAGGGAATCATAAATGCTAAAATATCTAAGTACTCCAGAGCAAACTTCAACAGTTTTTTGCCTTAAGGTCCATCTCACAGATGATGTAAGATAATATTGCTTCAAAATTTCTTTTTTTATCTCCACAAGTACAGTATCTGACCTAAAAATTTCATAGGAGGATATTTATAGTAGCTACAAGAGTTATTTTTCATCAGAATGTGCTTGTATATTTCTCTGAAAGATTATCTCACATTCTGCTGGTCAAACCACTGGAACACAGTTATTACACATCTAAATCGCTATCGGCAACATCTCCTCAGGCATGCCTGGTTGGACTCGTGGAGAGAGGAGCTGTCTAACAGGCATTTAAAGAGTAGCACTTTTGGAACGAATTTTAGCAACAAGGCAGGGGAGAAATCACAAAATCAAAGATATTTTCCCAGCTTACCTTTAAAATTCAGTAGTATACTATAAAAAGAAGTCAGCATATCAGAACTCTATATTTAAAACTGAAAAGAAAACTCCTATGTCCATGCTGATGCTCGAGGCTGATTGGACTAGAGCGGTAAAATCAAATTCTAAACTCCCAGACATATCTGCTGACAAAAAACATTTCCAGAAACCTTTTCTGCCCATGCATCTGGCATGATCCAGAATTCCTGTTTGCCCAACACCCTCTCCTGCTCTCCCTGTCCCATCTTGGACTCTGTAGACCTGGATAGCCCCATGGCCACCATTAAGGAAGGAGTCAATCCTTGCCAACTCATGACTGTTCACTCCAGTCTCCCAGTAAGTCCATGGGACTCTTTCATTGTCCCATGCACAGAAATTATGTAATTTGGCAGCCCTCTGCTATTCCCCCCAGTGCCACTGGATATTCATAAGAACATGGGATTTAAGTTGGAAGGGGATTGATTTATAAGGCTCCAGATCTAGTTCTGTGCTACTGCAAATAAATATCTCCCATGGTTCTGAGGCAGGTGACCTGCAAGAGTAAAGTCATGTTAGTAGGAACACACCAATGTACATCATTTGTGGATGTGCCTTTAAGAAGAGAAAATTGAGATTTAAGATCAAAGTAGGAAGTCCATGGTACTTTCCTGTACTTAAAACAAAATCAATATAAAGAAACATACAGCTGGAAGGAACGCTAGCTTGATAAAATCACAGTAAATTAGGAGTCCTTTAAGGCAATGGATGGTGTAGCTTCTTCCTCAGAATTAGGCACTTCAAATATTGACAGAACTTGTAAAGCACAATCAATATACCAATTCCTTTGTGAACTATTAATTATATATAGTGCTGATGAATAATCATTTAATTAGCATAATGGGAGGCTTCAGTGAAAAGGCCCTCTACCAAACATACTGGACCTAAAAATAGCAATAGTTTTTCAACGATGAGGCTTTGCATGAAAATGCAAATGCTCAACTTCTGGTCTTAATACTTGTTACATCACTCGGCCAATACAGAGCTTTGCTTATAAAGGTTTTGCCCCTTATCACTGCGGTACTGCCATATATAATTTGTTCCTCTAGGGCAAGGTGATGAGGGGTTTGGTATGAATTACCTGAATCAGTTCATCAAGCTCTGTTGCATTCACACAGGAATGCTGAGATACAAACGTCTGCTTCTGAATCACAATGGTGGTTCTCTGGGAGGTCTCATGAGGCTGCTCCAGGGCTTTAAATACTGTTGCTCCAATTATTAAATACACGACTACCACCAGAAAAATTGTTGAGACTGTCTTCCATTTCATAACATTAATGGCCGAATCGCTTTCCTCCCGTGAAGCGAGCACGGTAGGCTTGGTGGAAAATGATAATCTTGGTTTGGAGTTCTGAGTGGCCGATTTGGGATCCAGCAAGTCAGGTGCCGCCACTGGCAAAAATACAAAAAGAAAGTTAATGTTTACAGTGCCACTCAGATTTCGCTAAATAAACTTCTTGCCAAGAGATTAATCAAATTCTGTTGCTTCTAAGTGGAATTCTTAAACTGCTGAATCTTTCTCTTAATCCCATTACACCTTACAACATATCTGTTGCTCTGAGCAGCAGTGTCCATCTTACATGCATATGCACATTTGCCACATTTTCTATGTCTGTTCCCATATGATACTGAATCATTTCCAAAAGTAGATTTCCCCTACACCCTTGCATTTCACTTAATTACTCCAAGGTAGTATTTTGCTACAGAGATTCTTTACATCCGCTCTTCTCTCAGGCACTGCTAAGCATCTTTTCCAGCTGTGTTCTACCTCAGCGTTACAGAAGTATCAGGAAAATACAAAACCTCATCTCTCTCACCAATTTTGCCCTATGCTCCAGCAAATGCTCTCGGTGTACAGTTATGTGATCATTTCTAAACTCCCCAGACACAACCATAAAAATGAGACATTGCTCATCATACCAGTCTTAACGGGCTAATTGTTTATTGATCACACCTCTCAGAAAACAGTGGTACAACACATGTGTGCTTACTGGAAGAGTCGTGAATTTAGAGCCGGTATTTCTATTTACAGCTACGGAAACCCATCGGGTTAGGAAAAGAGTGGCCGAGAGTGTCAATCAAGTACTTGGATAACTCGTGTGACTACCAGTAACTATATGGGCACTAAAAAAAATCCTCCACATCAAGCGCACGTAGAGGTCTCCTGGGGGAAGATGGTCACAGCAGTGACCACACAAGCTATATTTAAATTGTTTTGAATAGCCAGTACGTTTTAAACGGCCAAGACAGCTTTTCCAGCCACTGGTGGGAAAAGATCAGGTCTAAATCTAGAGGAAACTCTCCCACAGGACGGCAGAGATGGGATGCGTCCCTGCAGGGAAGGCGATGGTGCTTGGCAGAGTCACCGCCTGGGAACCCGCCGGGCTCCGGCACGCACCGCGGCTCCGGGAGAAGGGGTCTGGGGGAGAGTGGCAGCCCCAGCCCGGGCCGCCCCGGGGCACCCATCACATCCCGCGGGGTGGGCGCCGGGCACTCCACGCGCGCCGCGGTCACGCCTCCCACAGCTCCAGCCCCCGCCCCACGAGCACCCGGGGATCGGGCACAGGCCCCCCGTCCCGCGCCTTGGCGGGGAGAGCCCCTTTCCCGCCTCCGCCTTCTCTCCCGTAGCAGCCCCCGAGCGCCTCCGAGCCCCCAGGGCCGGTGCCGGGGAGCGCTCTCATCG